GAGGAGATTGGATTTATACCCCGCCCTTCACTACCCAAAGGTGTCTCAGAGCGGCTTACAAACTCCTTTCCCTTCCCCTCCCCACAACAGACACCCTGTGAGGTGGGTGGGGCTGAGAGAACTCTGACAGAGACTGCTCTTTTTTCAAGAACAGCTCTTATCAAAGCTACGGCTTGCCCAAGGTCATCCAGCCAGGTGCAAGTGGAGGAGTGGGGAATCAAACCCGGTTCTCCCAGGTTAGAGTCCGCACACTTAATCACTACACCAAACCTCAGGCACTGGCTATGAAACATTAGAACATTCATAATCTAATTGCGACCTCCCTCTACAAGTTTGTTCTTAAGGTTTCCCTTCATCCCTCTCTGTCCTGTTTCCTTTCTGTGCTGATGGGCCATGAAGATACGAAATTGCCTTATACAGAGCCTCGCAAGGTCAGTACTGTCTACTCTGCAGCAGCTCTCCTGGCTCTTAGGCAGAGGTGTTATTTTTGAACTGTAAACCCACCTTGAATGCAGAGGCAAGGATGCAGAATACAAACATATCTAATAAATGAAATGCTTCCAGTGTGGGTAGATTCTTAAAGCGGGGCTACTCCATTACAGGCTTCCGCTTTACCACTGAAGAATCAAAGCCGTAAGATAAACGGATCCCAAAAGGAGAGAGTGAGGTTGAAGAACAGAATTGTAGAACTACCAAGAAACCTCTCTGAGCCGGTGTGTTTGAAGACGCCAATTCAGAAGCAACCCTGTGCTAATGCCTCAATTTACCTGCCTTTCCCCAAGACTAGTTGTAGCCCCGATATCGACTATTATCATTGGCAACACATAACCACTAAGCAAGGGGGGGGGGAACCTTCAAAAGCCTTTTCCATTCCAAAAGGCTCTTACCTTCCAGTTCGACAGAATCCGCAACGTACAACGTTCCGTCAACTAAATAGTGACCGGGACAAATGATGATCCTGTCCCCTTTGTAACAAGCATTCATGGCAGACAGTGGATCGCTGTGAAACTGGGGAGAGAAAACAGACACTACAGAAGTCAGTTTCTGGTAGGGGGAAGAGGATGCTTGGGGAGGGGCTGTGGTTCACAGAATCATAGAGTCGGAAGGGGCCAGACAGACCATCTAGTCCGACCCCCTGCCCAATGCAGGACCAGCCTAAAGCATCTCTGACAAATATTCGTCCAGCTTCTTCCTGAAAGCTGCCAGTGAAGGGGAGCTCACCACCTCCCTAGGCAGCTGATTCCATCTTTGAACCACTCTGACCGTGAAAAGGTTTTTCCTAATATCCTGCCGACACCTTTATGCATGTAATTTAAACCCGTTGCTTCGGGTCCCATCCTCTGCTGCCAACTGGAACAGCTCCAAATGACAGCCTTTCAAATATTTAAAGAGAGCAATTACGTCCCCCCCTCAATCTCCTCTTCTCCAAACTAAACATTCCCAAGGCCCTCAGCCTTTCCTCGTAGGGCTCAGTCTCCAGACCCCTGATCATCCTCGTCGCTCTCTTCTGCACCCTCTCAATTTTGCCCACATCCTTTTTGAAGTGAGGCCTCCAGAACTGCACACAGTACTCCAGGCGCGGCCTGACCAAGGCAGTATACAGAGGGGCTATGACTTCCTGCGGACGAGCATCAGCTTGGCACACAGAAGGTCCCTGGTTCAACCCCTGGCAACTCCAGGCTAAGAGGATCCATGTCGGAGGTGATGTGAAAGATCTTATCCAAGACCCTGGGGAGCTAGACAATATTGACCTTGACAGACCAGTGGTCTCACTTGGTAGAGACAACTCCAAGTGGTTTCTCAGATCATATTAAACTATTTTTTAAAAAGTGAACACACGAAACTGTCTTCCACGGTTTGTCGGGCTGTTAGCCTGTTCAACCCAGTTATCTATCTACTCCAGCGGGGCCCAGGCAGAGAGCATACCCAGAGTTACCTGGAACCTGGACCTTATCCTTTCAAAGGACATCCTCCATCCTACCCCATCCTACATATATGGAGTGCCCAGAAATTACTCACATGAACACATGAGCCTGCCTTACGCAGAGTCAGACTACTGATTTATTCAAGGCCAAACCCGTATACTTCGGCTAGTTCTTCAAGGTCTCCACTAGAGGTATCTCCAGCTCAGCTATCCAAGATGCATTTTTGACCAGATATCTAAACATTACATCTCCTTGCTTCCCTTCTTCAGAAGGGTACAAAAAAGGGTACAGTCTTAGGCAGATCATGAGAGGGAGGGCAGGAAAGGTTGAATCAGTGCTTCGTTCTTGTGGCCCTTTCTTACATGCCCAGGGAAATGCTGATCGCCACTTTGGGGTCAGGAAGCAATTTTTCTCCAGGCCAGTTCGGCCGGGGATCCTGCAGATTTTTTACCTCTTCTGGGCATGGAGCAGGGGTCACTGGGGGTGTGGGAGGGGGAGGTATTTGTGAATTTCCTGCACTGTGCAGGGGGTTGGACTAGATGACCCTGGAGGTCCCTTCCAACTCTAATTCTATACCAGGGGTATCAAACATGCAGCCCGGGGGGCGGATAAGGCCCCCGGCGGGCTTCCATCAGGCCTGCAGTGGAACTAGCCATCTCCTGCTTCCAGTTCTGCTGCTGCTTTATAGCTTGCTTTGCCAAACTCTCTTAATGACTCAGCCACTTCATGTTTTAACCTGGGTCCGAGACTCAGAACTCTGAGCATGAGATTTCTGTGCTGAAGGTCAAGAAATCAAAAGTAGGTTTGCAGCTTACAGAGCAAATGTTTTAAGCATGTTTTTATTTTAAGTTTAAAAAATCTTTGTGCTTCTGTCCTTTATAAAGTCTATATCTCCGCTACCTGGCATTACATTTTATGACACACATGGCCCGGCCCAACAAAGTCTCATTTATGTCAGATCCGGCCCTCATAACAAATGAGTTCGACATCCCTTTTCTATACTGATGTAATATCAAATCAACCACTAGAGGGAGCAAAACACATGCAGAATGCCCCCCCCCCAAGCAACGGGAACACGGAAGCGAGGAAAATGAGAATTCAGAAAAGCCCTATGATTCACAGAGGCAATTTACAGCATATAAAGCCGGTACCCACCCATGCTCCCTCTAAGCTGTGGAGTCTTGGGAGTAAAAATTCTACTTTGTGAGCTACTCGCATTAAAGTTGTGAGCGAGCGATTTGGTTACTGCATAAATTAGTTTGCTCGGGAGCCCTCCTCCCTGAGCTAAGACAATGTGTGAGCCGGAGGCTAAAAAACTGTGAGCCAGCATGCACTAACTCGGCTTGGAGGGAACACTGGTACCCACTCCTGTTTTGTTTGTCCATGGGCCCAGAGAGGGAATGAACTGTGTTTCTTTTTCTAAACAGAAGGTTATGGATCTAAGACAGCCACTATGAAATGGAATGACGTTGCGGTCAAGTTTGCAGCTGCCATACCTGTATTTCTATTTCTTCATTACAAGAGGCTGGAGAAAGCTTCTCCCTGAGGAGACAGGCCAAGAGGCTGGACATCATGGTGGCAGACACGACGTGTGTGATGGTGGTGCCGGCCGGCCGGATTCCTTTTGGCTGAAGACCGGCACGCTTTTGATAGCCGAACACATACCTTCAAGAGGAACAACACACAGCCATCAGTTCCCAGCTTCCTTCACAAAGCACGGTCCTTGGATGGACGTCACTCACCGCTTGGCCAAAGTCGACCGGGAGAACCGACCACTGACCTTTCACAACCGAAAACAAGCCCTTCCCACTAGACCCCACTATTTATCGTCAACATCTTTCAAGATCGGCCTCTCTCTGGCAGAAGATCACTTCAGAGGGAAGCCGTGTGAACAATAAAAGCCCACAGCCAAATATTCAGAACTCCAGAGGCCTGCCCGAAAGAGGGTGAGTCTCACCAGCAGAGGTCATTTCGGGGGGGGATCGCAGAGGGAACGTAGTTCCCCTGGGTGAGGTACACGGGGGCAGGGCACATGACGAAGCCCCGCCCCCTGCTTCTGGCCGCCCTGCTTCCAGCCCTCATTCAGCCAGGAGGAGGCAGGAGAAGAGGGAGGGTAAGTTGCTTCCTCCCCGCCTCTCCCCACCCCTGCCTGCCTGGGGCCAGGGAGGGCCTTGGCGGGGCTTCCTCGCACTCCCGCTGGCCTTGCAGGTCCACCGCCGGGCCCCTGATGTCAGGGGGTGTGGCATATGCTAATGAGTTATGCTAATGAGTTCCCCTAGCTCTTTTTCTATGAAATGACTCCTGCTCACCAGCCAGAGAAAGGCTAGCAAGGGAGAGGGTATTGATCAGAAAGACTTTCTGCGGCTACGGGAACCTGACAGAGGAAATCCACTCTTTTGTGGCTGCCCTTTGGACCTAAGAAAGTCGAGAACCTTTACAGATGGCCTGTAGAAGCCTATAGAGGGAAGGCCATCTCTGAGCCCCAGCCCAGTTAAGGCTCCAAAAAGTAATACAAAACAGCACTTTGAAGTGGGTGCAGAAGCTTAACTGGTAGAGAGCAGGAGAATGTAAGGACGTCATTAGAGGCCCATCGTGTCCAGCTCCCGCCCGGGAGCTCCGGGGACAAGGGGCCGGCAAGGAGGAGATGCCTCCGTGGCACTGGAGGAAGTCGATATCCATCTAGACAGCCCCGTCCTCTGTGAATTTGTCCACTTCCCTTTTAAAGCCGTCCAAGTTGGCAGCCATTAGGACATCCTGCGGCAGCAGGTCCCACAATTTAACTATGGACTGCATGAAGTGGTACTTCCTTGTGTCTGTCCAACCCTTCACCGTCAGCGGATGTCCCCTAGTCTAGGTAAAGGTTTCCCTTGCTCGAAAGCCAACAATCTACCGGACAGTGGTACCCCAATGGGGCTGTTGGAAGATACCATCTTAATCACCCAAGACCATCTTGATACTGAAAGCACTTTATTGTTGTTAGTAGTATTGTTGCCTATGATTTTATTGTCTTTTTGGATTTTATGTATGGGCTTTCGCCCCTTGTAAGCTGCCCTGAGCCCGCTTGCGGGGAGGGCGGGGTAAAAATACCTAAATAAATAAATAAATAAATAAAATACTTGCAATTTCTTGCTTTCGAACTGCTAGGTTGGCAGGAGCTGGAACTAGAGACGGGAGCTCACTCCATCATGCGGCACCCGGGGTCTCGAACTGCTGAACTACTGACCTTCCACAGCCTGCAGTTCAGCGTCTTAACCGCTTGAGCCACCGCAGCTCCATGTCCCCTAGTCTAGTTGGTCAAAAACGGCAGAGTCACGCTCACGGGGGACGGCTTTACCTCAGGAGAGGATTTTCAATGAGCTTCAGCTTTTGTTTCAAGCGGTCTATCCTGTCGTAGAGCTTCACCCCTTCCACCACGGAGATGCTTTCCACTTCGGACTCAGAATCGCTGCCCGAGAGGCTGTTCCGGAGGTCCAGGAACGTGCGGTAAACCTCTTCGCACTGGGACAGAAGGCTGTGGTAGTCTGCGACGAGGGCAGAAGGGACACGGTCTTCCAAGATGTCGTAGTACCTGAAATTCAGAGTTGCAAAGCTGTTGGTGGAACGGCTGAGCAGTGCCCATCCCCAAATATGCTTGAGCCATGGTCCAAAGTCCCAAGGGTTTGTTCAGTTGCTCCCAATAGCTCCAACTATAGTATTTTGAATTCAGCAAGACTACCGTATTTTGGCATAGTGTGCAGTACTACAACTGTAGCAAAAATTCACAGTTAATCTAAAGAAAGAATGGATGGGTATCATGTCCCAAGGAAGTTGGGGGAACTACAAAATGACTTCAGCATACCTTGCCGTATTCCGTTCTTGAGAGCCAGGGTGGTATAGAGGTAAAAGGCTCAGGAACACGATCTGAGAATCCGGGTTCAAATGCCCATCCCTTCCTAAGGTGATCTTACACTAATCTCTTTCTCTCTTTCTCTCTCACACACACACACTGCCTGATCTGCCTCACAGGGTTGTTGTGAACACAAAACGGAGAAAGAAAGGATCATATATGCTGCCTTGAAATCTACAGAGGAAGGATGGAATAAAAACACGACACGGATTGATAGTTCCCGGAGCAAGAACAGGGGGCTCCTAGCATTTGAGTTTATTTCATTGAATTAAAAATACGACTCGAAAAACTTCCACAACCAGTTCTGCAGTGCCATCTAGAGGTCAATTGAGGCCATGGCTCAAATGGAATTAACAATATCCCAACACCATCTACAAAAACGTCCCTGAGGCCATGGCTCAAATGGAATTAATATCCCAACACCATCTACAAAAACGTCCACAGGAAAAAGAAGGGGGGGGAAATCAATTAGTGTAGTGCAGTTGTTTGATTATCAGACGAGGAGGATCTGAGATCCAAGTTTGAATCTTCCATGGCAGATCATTACAGTTCCGCAGGGCCTGCAAGACGGAGCTCTTCCACCAGGCATTCGAGTGAGAGTCACATATAACATCTTAATTTAAAACCAGAGCCTTACCCTGGATTTTCTACCATTACCATTATTGACTAACACCTGTTATGGATAATACTCGGAAACTGTTGTTTCGCCATCTGACATGCAATATCTAGGTATAGCGCTTTAGAATTGTTTGTATGATTTTATTCTGTTTTTTTTAAAAAAAAAATATGTAAGCCACCCCTGAGCTTGCCTTGGCGGGAAGGGCAGGGTATAAATCCAATAAATAAATAATAAATAAATCATGAATTTGGACCTGGGTCTCCCACACCCTAGTCCAACAGCCTAACCTCTGCAACCATAGTGGCCATTGCCTACTCTACACACTTCCTTCTTTCCCCTAGTTTTCGGTCTATCTCCTTCTTTAGCATCCCTCACCCCAGTTCTCAGACCTCACCTGGATACGGTTAGAATGTAAGAGAAGCCATGTTGAATCAGGCCAACAGCCCATCGAGTCCAGCACTCTGTGTCACACAGTGGCCAAAACCCAGGGGCCATCAGGAGGTCCACCAGTGGGACCAGAACTCCAGAAGCCCTCCCACTGTTGCCTCCCAAGCACCAAGAGTATAGAGCATCACTGCCCCAGACATGGCGTTCCATCTACACCTTGTGGTTTTAACCCCAGCCACAGTGACAGCTTTCCCTTCCCTCACGGAAGCTGGACTGCAGATGGGTTTGTTCACTTTGGAACTGAACATTCCAAGCCAGCGTTATCAGCTCAGCACTGCAGCCAAGTCAGAGGCTTCACCGCCACAAAAACAACACAAGACTCGGAGTTTGGAACAGAAGTGATTCAGGAGCGGTCCACTCCACGGCTCAACAACATTTTAAGAGGTACTTACAACCGGAGGCGAGGCTCGACACATCTGACAAAGTAATCAAAGTCGTCGTCGTCCTCTTCGTCCCAGCTCCGCCAAATGTGCTGGTAGAAAAACCTTTGCAAAAAAAAGAGAGGAAGTTAAGGAGTGGCTCATTCAAATGACTGCTCACGGAGGCCAAGATTTAAAGGGAAAGGTGCCCTTGCTCGAAAGCCAGTCGAGTCCGACTCTAGGGTTGCGGTGCTCATCTCCGTTTCAAAGCCGAAGAGCCAGCGCTGTCCGAAGACGTTTCCGTGGTCATGTGGCCGGCATGACTAAACACCAAGGCGCACGGAACGCTGTTACCTTCCCACTGAAGTGGTACCTATTTATCTACTTGCAATTTCTTGCTTTCGAACTGCTAGGTTGGCAGGAGCTGGAACTAGAGACGGGAGCTCACTCCGTCATGCGGCACCCGGGCCTCGAACTGCTGAACTACTGATCTTCCACAGCCTGCAGTTCAGCGTCTTAACCAATTACAGCAGAATAAAAAGCAAAATATAGTATCACAGAACCGTAGACTTGGAAGGGACCTCCAGGGTCATCTAGTCCAACCCCCTGCACAATGCAGGAAATTCACAAATACCCCCACACACACACACACTCAGTGACCCCTGTTCCACGCCCAGATGAAAAAGCCCTCCAGGATCTCCAGCCAAAACGGCCTGGAGAAAAATTGCTTCCTTTTTCTCATTTCAAGCTTCCATCCTGGATCACAGACCCTCTTTGGGTTTGGTGTTCCTGGCATCTCAGCCTAACTTATGGCTACCATTTCAAGTGCCCTTTCAGGGAGACCAATATGATCATCTCTCCATATTGCAGATGGGGGAACTGAGGCCCAGAGACCACCTCAGGCTAGAGAGCTTTTCAACCACCCCCAAGATGTGAGCAAAAGGGCTCGCAACTCAGTGGGTGAGCAACAACTCTGTATGGCTAGAGCACTGGACTAAGATCTAGGGGATCCAGGTTCGAATCCCCATTCTGCTATGGATGCTTGCTGGGTGACCTTAAGCCAATCACACACTCTCATCCTAAACTACCTCAAGGGGTTGTTGTGAAGATTAAAATGGGAGAGAGGAGAATGTTGTAAGCCATACTTGGGAGGAAAGGCCGGGTATAAAAGAAGTAAATAATAGTAAATAACCCAAAAGAGAAGAAGAGATTGGATTTATACCCCGCCCTTCACTCCCCGAAAGAGTCACAGAGCGGCTTACAATCTCCTTTCCCTTCCCCACAACAGACACCCTGTGAAGTAGGTGGGGCTGAGAGAGCCCTTTCAAGGACTGCCCTTGAGAGGACAGCTCTGAAAGAACTTGTGACTGACCCAAGGTCACACCAGCAGCTGCATGTGGAGGAGTGGGGAATCTAACCCGGTTCTCCCAGATTAGAGTCCGCGCTCTTAACCACTACACCAAACTTGACCCCCAGGAGCAACTCCTGGCACCTCCAGTTAGAATATACCAAGTGGCAGGACTGGAAACAACCTCCACTTACATCCTCGGAGAGCCCCTGTCAGTCATCACTGGAATGAATCCCAGAAAAGATCGACCCACCTGACGTGCTCAACAGCGAGGGCCGTCTGGTCAAACCCCCCCGATTCATCGAACACGACCCACAGCTCCTGCAATGGCAGTTGATGCCCCTTGAGGGCCAGCAATTCCTGCAAGCACTCCAAAGTGAAGGCACCCCCTTTGTTCTCGCACAAGAAAGGGTCGCCGAGCCGCACCACGGCCTTCAGAGAAGAGTACTCCATGTCAACCACCTGGGGAGAGAAGCGGCCATCTTTATTCCTTCGCTAAGCAGAGCCATCTTCGGTCAGAGTTACAGCAGTTTTTAAAAAAGTTCAGCATGCCTCGTTTCTAAGAGCCTGTTGGTGGTTTCCAGCAGAGGTTAAAACAGCCCTAGAATTCGAGCACGAGAATTCGGGGTCACTCAACACCAGAGGTCATTTCGGGGGGGATCGGGGGGGATCGCAGTTCCCCCGGGTGAGGCACATGACGAAGCCCCGCCCCCTGCTTCCGGCCCTCATTCAGCCAGGAGGAGGCAGGAGAAGAGGGAGGGTAAGTTGCTTCCTCCCTGCCTCTCCCCACCCCTGCCTGCCTGGGGCCAGGGAGGGCCTTCCAGGGCTTCCTTGCACTCCTGCTGGCCTTGCAGGTCCACCGCTGGGCCCCTCATGGGGCTCGGCAGTGGAGCAGCAAGGCTGGCGGTGGCGGCCGGGACCGTTGGGGGCGGGGTGTGTGGCCTTATGACACACTTCCGGTGATGTCAGGGGTGTGTGGCCTTATGACACACTTCCGGTGATGTCAGGGGGTGTGGCATATGCTAATGAGTTATGCTAATGAGTTCCCCTAGCTCTTTTTCTACGAAACGACCCCTGCTCGACACAATCAACTAGTAGTAGATTCAGGACAGACCCAAAAAAAGGAAGTACTTGTGCACAAAAACTGGCTTGGGGAACTCCCTGCTACAAGGTGGGGGGAATTCACCAGATTAGATAGCAAGAGAGTGGCCAAATTCAGGGAAGGCTGATTGAACTATGGAGACGAGCTGTGGTAGCTAAATGGAACTGGACTCAGAGGCAGTTATTAGGTGGTAACAGAAGGGGGAGGAACTTTCCACACCGCGCTGGTGGCCTTTCTCAGAAGCATCCAACTAGCCACTCCTGGAACCACCTGCACCACACAGACTGTCGGTCCGATCCAGAAAGATTCTTTACATGTTCTTATGCACAGTGAAGCTCAACTCAGAGAATCTTTAGGCAGCATTATTATAATACCCACATTATTAAAACCGATCTCCTCTTGTGTTGGGGAATGCAGTGCCAGTTTTAGCTAAAACGACCCTTTTGTAAACCAGTCGAGCAGGGTGGGATCCTGCCCCTTCTCTGAAGACAGACCACCAGTTGGAGACCCTCCAGCCAGCAAGGAACAGAACTATCCAGGACTGGACGCCCAGATGCATTCGGGACCAAAAGCATCGCATCTTACAGGGTTCAGCAATTAACAGCTCATAGGAGTCCTCCTCTTGTATCAGTCATGCTCCATCCAACTGACAAAGGGAGCTTTGAGTCTTGAAAACTCATACCCCAAAAATCTTCCCTATGAAGAAAGGTTAAAACACTTGGGGCTCTTTACCTTGGAGAAACCACAGCTGAGGGGTGATATGATCGAGGATTATAAGATTATGCATGGGATAGAGCAGGTAGAGAAAGAAGTACTTTTCTCCCTTTCTCACAGTACAAGAACTCATGGGCACTCAATGAAATTGCTGAGCAGTCGAGTTAGAATGGATAAAAGGAACTCTTCACCCAAAGAGTGATTAACAGATGGAATTCACTGCCACAGATACACATATTATCCACAAGGTAAGAACGTAAGAGACGCCAATGTTGGATCAGGCGAAAGGCCCATCCAGTCCAACACTCTGTGTCACACAGTAGCCAGGAATACCAGGTGCCATCAGAAGGTCCACCAGTGGGGCCAGGATATTAGAAGCCCTCCCACTGTTGACCCCCCCCCCAAGCACCAAGAAGACAGAGCATCCCTTGCCCCAGATTGAGAGTCTCTATCTATACCTTGTGGCTAAGAGCCACTGATGGACCTCTGCTCCATATGCTTATCTAATTCCCTTTTGAAGCCGTCCATGCTTGTAGCCGCCACCACTTCCTGTGGCAGTGAATTCCAAGTGTTAATCACTCTTTGGGTGAAGAAGGACTTCCTTTTATCCGTTCTAACCCGACCGCTCTGCAGTTTCATGGAGTGCCCACGAGTTCTTATATTGTGAGAAAGGGAGAAAAGTACCTCTTTCTCTACCTGCTCTATCCCATGCATAATCTTATAAACCTCAATCATGTCACCCCTCAGTCGTCGTTTCTCCAAGCTAAAGAGCCCTAAGCGCTTTAACCTTTCCTCATAGGGAAAGTGTTCCAACCCTTTTATCATTCGAGTTGCCCTATTCTGCACTTTTTCCAAAGCTATAATATCCTTTTTAAGGTGTGGTGACCAGAACTGCACACAGATATAGATAGGGACTCTCAGTCTGAGGCAGGTGATGCTCTGTATTCTTAGTGCTTGGGGGGGGGGCAACAGTGGGAGGGCTTCTAGCGTCCTGGCCCCACTGCTGTACCTCCTGATGGCACCTGGTATTTTTGGCCACTGTGTGACAGAGTGTTGGACTGTATGGGCCATTGGCCTGATCCAACATTGGCTTCTCTTATGTTCTTATGTTATTTAAGGTGATTCTGCACTCAAATCTAACCAGTCCAATAAATGTAACTCCAGAATGGCTAAATGTACCATGGATGGACACAGTGTAATAAAAGGCAAAGCACAATTCACTAATAAAGCACCACACTGCAAGTAAATAAAGAGGACTCTTAAATTGATAAATCCATTGCACCAAAAGCAAACTCCAGAATGCAATTCAGATAACAGAGGGCATGATTCCAAGAAGTATATACTGGCAGACGTTATAACACAAATTACACAGACATATGTTGCAGATACACATCGGAAGACATTAAATGGATCAGCTGCAGTGGGCAGAATTCCCTGCACTGGTTTGAGTGTAAAGAAGTCATTCCAGTGCCAGAGACTTTAATCCATGGGACTGAGTTGATGAATTTAAAAGTAGGGCTTCTCTTGGAGTAACACAGACAGGCAATTCACCATTTTTGATTCTGTGTTCATCTGAAGAAGGAAGTTACCAAAACAGAATGAATACCAGATCCCTGTAAAGTCTGCAGAGATATATTTACAACATATGTCTACGTAATTACTGTTGCAGCATGTGCCAATATACATATTACTTGAAATCACACATTATGTTATCTGAATTGCTTTTTAGAATTTGCGTTTCATGGAATCAATTTCTATAGAGTACTGTTTGTTCACAGCATGGTGCTTTATTAGCAGTTTGTATTTTGACTCTAGAAAAGATGCCAATGTGCCTAAACTGCAGCATCACATGTTCACAGTTTTAGATCTTTTCAGCCTATCAGGCCTCGTCAATCCTGCCAGCGTGATGCAGTGGTTAGAGGCCCCGTCCTTCACTACCCAAAGGCTTCTCAGAGTGGCTTACAATCTCCGTTCTCTCCCAACAGACACCCTGTGAGGTAGGTAGGGTACAGAGAGCTCCTTCGAGGACTGCCCTTGAGAGAACAGCTCTGAAAGAACTTGTAACTGACCCAAGGTCACATCAGCAGCTGCATGGGGAGGAGTGGGGAATCAAACCCAGTTCTCCCAGATTAGAGTTCGTGCTCTTAACCACTACACCAAACTGACCCCCAGGAGCACCTCCTAGCACCTCCAGTTAGAATATACCAAGTGGCAGGACTGAAAACAACCTCCACTTACACCCAAGGTCACACCAGCAGCTGCACGTGGAGGAGTGGGGGAGTCAAGCCCGATTCTCCCAGATTAGAATCTGCGCTCCTAACCACTACACCAAACTGACTCTCAGAGGGATGGAGGTGGGATTGAGCAGGGAAAAGAAATCACAAAGAAGGGGTCCCACGCTCTGTCCTAACCCATCACCTTTCTGCTACAAACTGCACCCCTTCTGCTTGCAGACAGCACATCGACTCACGGCCAGGGTCTGCCCAGCTCTTGCTTACCTAAAATGAAACCCCTTATTCAGTGCTTGTAAGCAGAGAAACACCCAGAGAACCCAGGAGCATTTACCTCCACCAGAACCTCAAATACGTTGGTACGCCAGATTGCCTGCCACCCGCATGGCTCGAGGACCTTTTCCAAGTACTCGGCTGTGAATTCTTTCACCTCCGAGGCTTTACAGTCAGCTAAAAAAAACAATGAAACACATTGAAACATGTCTCACACAGCTAAACAGCAAACCGCACCAGCTCCCACACGGAAAGCAAATGAGAAAGCAGATGCTTTAAGTTAGCACCTTCCAGGGTTCAGGCAGTGCTGGGGAACTGAAGCACCAGGGAATAGGTAGCAGCCTACAGAAGAGCACAGGGACCTTATTAGCCTGCTACTTACTCACCTGTGGTGAGCACAGACTGCATCCAGGTGAGTAGGAAAGAAAATTTACAGACATTGGTTATCATTTCCTTTTAGGTCACAACACGTAGCCTGCCCGTGTATGGATGGGTGCCAGGCTAGAAAAACACCTGTGGGGTAGTAACTTCAGAGGCTGTATTCAGAAGTTTAACGTAATCCTACGTAGAGTTACTTTAGTCTAAGCCCATTGAAATCGATCTGCTATTTTTGAGCATGCAAAATCTATTCTGATTTACTGGCCTACTCCAACTTGCTCACAGAGAATCAAGGTGGATTACACACTGTAAAATCAATGCAATCAGTAGGATGGGCCATCTAGTCAGCAGTGCAGCAAGATCAGGATTACAAATACTTGGAAACAAAGCAAAGAGTATCAGACGTGATTTGTCAAACAATGGAGAAAACAGAATTACAAAACAGAAAACAATGCAGGAAGAACAGAAGAAGAGATGGGATTTATACCCTGGATGGGCCATCTAGTCAGCAGTGCAGCAAGACCAGGATTACAAATACTTGGAAACAAAGCAAAAAGTATCAGATGTGATTTGTCAAACAATGGAGAAAACAGAATTACAAAACAGAAAACAATGCAGGAAGAACAGAAGAAGAGATGAGATTTATACCCTGCCCTTCACTCAGAGTCTCAGAGCGGTTTACAATCCCTTTCCCTTCCTCTCCCCACAACAGACACCCTGTGAGGTAGGTGGGGCTGAGAGAGTTCAGAAAGAACTGTGACTGACCCAAGGTCACCCAGCGGGCTTCATGTGGCGGAGGAGTGGGGAATCAAACCCAGTTCTCCAGATTAGAATCTGCCGCTCTTAACCACTACACCACAACATACAACCAACAGATAAGACGTACCATGTACACTAGCAGAGTCGATAGTTGAAAATAAAATATTGTGTTAATGCCATGTTATGACAATGAAAAACAGTAGATTATTTGTTTTTTAAAAATCATAGGAAGAAACAAAAATCTAAGTATGCTTAGAAAACAGCACAGGTGGGGGGATTATAACTCACCAAAAACAGCCAGTTTGGTGTTGTGGTTAGGAGCATGGACTCTAATCTTGGAAAACTGGGTTTGATTCCCCACTCCTCCACAGGCAGCTGCTGGTGTGACCTTGGGTCAGTCAAATTCTTTCAGAGCTGTTCTCTCAAAGGCAGTCCTCAAGAGAGCTCTCTCAGACCCACCAACTTCACAGGGTGTCTGTTGTGGGGAGGGAAAGGGTTTGTAAACTGCTTTGAAACCCCTTTGGGTAGTGAAAGGTGTGGTATAAATCCAATCTCTTCTCTTTTCTTCTTATTCTAAATATATACAAGAATTCTTGTGGTTCCCATTATAGTGTGATTGGAAGACATATTGTATGAGTCTTGCCTTAGTAATGTGATTGTATATTTGTACTTATTTATTTATTTATTGGATTGATATCCCGCCCTCCCTGCAAGCAGGCTCAGGGCGGCTCACAAATTAGCGGCACCATGTGCCAAGATAAAACAGTTAAAAACAAGATAAAACAGTTATACAATTAACTTAGATACAGTTGATACCAAAAAGTGCTCATAGGGATATTCATTCTTCATTCAGTCAGAGATGGCGTGCAAACAAAAGTAATGCTAGGGCCCCGATTTAACGATATTTCAGCCTCCCGCAATTAATGTTCCCTCTAAGCTGTGGAGTCTCGTGAGCAAAAATTCTACTCTGTGAGCTACTGGCATTAAAATTGTGAGCAAGTGATTTGGCTGCTGCATAAGTTAGTTTGCTCTGGAGCCGTCCTTCCTGAGCTAAGACAAAAATGTGTGAGACGGAGGCTAAAAAACTGTGAGCTGGCTCACACTAACTCAGCTTAGAGGGAACACTGCGCCGCAATGTTGTATCTCGGTCTCCTGAAAGGAGACTTCTTGAGATTGCACTCTTCATTATTGTTGAAATATATACTCCTGTTAATATAACCCCTTGTTCTGATTATACAACTTTATTCCCAGGGTTCTCTCCTCATATTGTATTGGCCTGCCTCCGTGTAGCAACCCTTGACTTCCTTGGAGGTCTCCCATCCAAGTACCAACCAGGGCCGACCCTGCTTAGCTCCTGATGCCTGATGAGAGTGAGGCTGGGCCATCCAGGTCAATAATCCATTGTGAGTTAGCAAGGAAAACCCGACAGAGACTGATCCTGAGACCACAGAACGGGAAGCGACGATTTACTCACCCAACATGTAGTCTTGGTACGCTTTGAATCGCTCATAGAACAGGAGATTGTTTGTCTGGAAGGTATCCGGGAAACGCACGTCCCCTTCTGGCACCAGCCGCTGCAGGGCCGTTCCCGGCTTGTCCTGGTCCCCGTAATCGCTGCAGCTGCCCCCTCCACTGTCGTCGCTTTCGCTGCTTTCTCCTGGGGTCAAAGAGAGATGGGGGCAAGTGACCTTCTCCCGTCGATTTCCCTTCATGCAAGAAGGTCTACCAACCTCAATGAGACCAGCTAGCTGTCAAGAATTAACCTACCCGCTGCAAACGCAAACGTTTCTCAAGCAAGATACTTAACATACAGATTACAATCTGACACTGATTAACATTAAACCTTTTCAGATGTAGCCCTGAATGAAAGAGAGACCTGTGAACATTCGATAGTTCAGCAAAGTTCGTAATTTCTTTCCATTTGGTTTCCATATCGCTAGATCGCCTTGTTTGCCGAATTCACTCCCCACCAATGCTCCCTCTAAACTGTGGAGTCCTGTGATCCAAAATTCTACTTTGTGAGTGACTGGCATTAAAGTTGTGAGCAGGCGATTTGGCTGCTGCATAAATTCGTTTGCTCCGGAGCTCAGACAAAAATGTGTGAGCCGGAGGCTAAAAAACCGTGAGCTAGCTCACACCAACTCATCTTAGAGGGAACGTTGCTCTCCACCCCTGCCACTTGGGTTGAGGACATTCTGCCCCACTGAATTTATGCATTTAATTCATTTATGCCCTGCCTTTCTCCTCAGCAGGGACCCAAAGTGGCTTACAGGATTCTCCTCTTGTAAATTTTATCCTCACAACAACCCTGTGAGGTCGGTTAGGCTGAGAGAGTGTGACCGGCCAAAGGTCACCATGCAAGCTCCCATGGCATGAATGGGGATTTGGTCCAGGGACTTCCAGGGACTAGTCTGACACTTTTAAACCCTACAGCACACCAGTTCTCTTTCTAGTTCACTTAGGGGAAAAACCTAAGACAATTCAAGACTGAAATTAGCCCAAGTCTGCTATAAGACAAGCAGTAGAAAAGAGCAAGAGTCCAGTAGCACCTTAAAAACTAACAAAATTTATGGTAGGGAATGAGCTTCCATGAGTCACTGCTCACTTCTTCAGATATAGCTAGAACAGGAGTCCGTCTGTCCTATTTATTGGAAAGTGGAGTGATTTCAGATGCCAAATAACATTAGCAGGCAAATGACAATAGCAAGTGAATAAGAACAGCAGGCGTGATTGGATTTAGGGGATGTCCATAACAACTTCTAACCCGTAATGACAAACTATTTAACAGTAACACGGACTCTGGTACCGAGGCCTGCAACAAACCAAGATGCCAACTTTGCTCTCATATCAATCCTGGCAACACCATCAGTGGACCCAGCAACATCAGCCATGGCATCTCAGGTTCCTGCTCATCCTCTAATGTGATTTATGCCATCATGTGTCAGCAGCGTCCTTCCACCCTCTACACTGGACAAACAGGCCAGTCCCTTCGACAAAGAATTAATGGACATAAGTCTGACATCAGAAACCACAATATTCAAAAACCAGTGGAGAAACATTTTAATCTTCCACGGCATTCAGTTGCAGACCTAAAAGTAGCCGTTCTCTTACAAAGGCATTTCAAAGGGAGATTCGAAAGAGAGACCGCTGAACTGCAATTGATAATGAAGCTCAAGACCATGCATCCACCTGGACTGAATCAAGACCTAGGTTTCAGGTCTCAGGTCTCATTACCAATGCTGATTTCTTCACAAAATACAAAACAGAAGCCCAGTGATACTACACTTGATCTTACCCAAAAGGCCAAGAAGCAATCAGAAGGCCCAGTGGCACTCAACGAACAGAGGACATTGACTCCACCAAAAACATGCATGAGCCAGGGCTCGCTTCATCAGATGCAACAGGAGTGTAAAGAAGTAGCCGTTCTCTTACAAAGGCATTTCAAAGGGAGATTCGAAAGAGAGACCGCTGAACTGCAATTGATAATGAAGCTCAAGACCATGCATCCACCTGGACTGAATCAAGACCTAGGTTTCAGGTCTCATTACCAATGCTGATTTCTTCACGCCTGTTACCCCTCTGCATATCTCACCTAAACCCAATCACGCCTGCTATTGTCATTCACCAGCTATTTACCTTTGCCTGCTAATATCATTTGGCATCTGGAATCACTCCATTTCCAATATGGAGGACAGATGGACTCCCATTCTAGCAGTATCTGAAGAAGTGAGCAGTGACTCATGAAAGCTCCTGCCTTGCCACATACTTTGTTAGTCTTTATGGTGCCACTGGACTCTTGCTCTTTTCTACTGCTACAGACAGAACACAGCTACCCATCTTGACCTGAAAGACAAGCAGTTAGAGTTTGCAACTGGGTGTTGTTGTTTTTTCTGGAGAGTTCAGACTTGATTTGAATTTAATCGTTTTAGGCAGAACAAGAAGAGAGTCTACAGAGATTCCCACAAGGCAGTAATCTGTGGCAGCCAAGACTCTTGTGGCACCCTAAAGCCCAAGGAACATACTGTGCCGGAAGCTTCCGTGAATGAGAGCTCAAATACAAGTACGGCTTATTCCAGACAGCTAGCCACACTAGTCTGCAGCAGCAAAATACAAACAGAAGCCCAGTGATACTACACTTGATCTTAGCCAAAAGGCCGAGAAGCAATCAGAAGGCCCAGTGGCACGCAACCAACGGTGGACATTTAGTCCACCAAAAATAGGCATGAGCCAGGGCTCGCTTCATCAGATGCAACAGGAGTGTAAATTCACTCCACACTCTGATGAAATCAGCCTTATCTCACAAAAACGTCTGTTGGAGTAAATGTCCTCAGTCTATTAAAGTCCCATATGTTTTGTACAGCTTAAAGATCCTGAATCCAGAGTGGCAGCCAATGTTCCCTCTAAGCTGTGGAGTCTTGTGTGCAAAAAATCCACTTTGTGAGCCACTGGTATTAAAGTTGTGAGCAAGCGATTTGGCTACTGCATAAATTAATTTGCTCTGGAGCCATCCTTCCTGAGCTAAGACAAATATGTGGGAGCCAGAGGCTAAAACACTGTGAGCTAGCTCACACTAACTCAGCTTAGAGGGAACACTGGTGGCAGCCCCTATAATATCATAATATATCATGGGGGGGGGGACAGTTACAGGTAAGGTTGCCAGCTCCAGCTTAGGAAATACCTGGAGATTTTGGGGGTGGAGCCTGCAGAGGGCGAGGTTTGGGGAGGGACCTCAGTGGGGGTATAATGCCATAGAGGCCACCTTCCAAAGCAGTCATGTCCTCCTGGTGAACTGATCTGCCGCCTGGAGATCAGCTGTAATCATAGTTCCCCCTAAGCTGAGTTAGTGTGAGCCAGCTCACAGTTTTTTAGCCTCCAGCTCACACATTTTTGTCTTAAGAAGGAGGGCTCCAGAGCAAACTGATTTATGCAGCGGCCAAATCGCTCGCTCACAACTTTCATGCCAGTAGCTCACAAAGTGGAATTTTTGCTCACAAGACTCCACAGCTTAGAGGGAGCACTGGCTGTAATACGGGGAGAGCTCCAGCTAACACCTGAGGGTTGACCACCCTAGTTAGAGGGGGCGCAAACTGACCCGATGAACAGGAGATTTGGGGACAGGGAAAAGGGGGGCCCATTCTGTCCTACCTAGGCTCAGGGCGTCGCCTGCCTCTTCCTGGGGCTGAGAGCCGCCCAGCACCGGCGGGAGGGGCTCCCCTACCCATCCACCGTCCCCCTTTACTCCTTCGTCCTGTCTCTCCTCCTCCACCGCCATAGCCGCCTCCAGATCTTCCTCCGAACGGCTCTCGGCCGCCTCCTCCGGGGCTGCCGCGAGGGCCTCCGACGCCCCGTCCTCTTTCCCCGTAGCGGCGGCGCCATTAATTCGGGCTCCGGCTCCATTCGGACCCCCGCTGAGCCGCGCCGCGCCCGCCAAGCCTCCGTTGCAAATTTCAAACCTCCCCGGGCAAGGAAATGCGGCTTCCTTTCCGCCGCGCGAGCGCGCCTC